GAAATCATAGAACTAGTGCAGTACATTAGATAAACAGAAAATCACTGCAATCTAATCTAAAGCCAAAAGGGAAGCAAACTAAGTAAAAGCTCATGACCCAAATCAGAGACAACTTCAAAGGCTATTTACGACAACGACAATTAAATGGGGTTTTATGTCCGAGTGTATCACCTCCGAGTGATGGCCGGATGACACGACTACTGCCACTGCTCTTTCCCAGAAGGGAAATCCTTTCGCATGTCAACTGACAATATATCCACCATTCGCCGACGACACTGGGTGAACTCTAAACTGCACAATAACTAAATATAAAGCCGCCGTTCAGGGAAATATTTTGATGACATTTATGCGTTCACGTCCACTGGCGGCAGCGACGACACAGAGCTCTAATTAAATTTAATAGCTGCGCAGCGACATAAAATTGAGCCACCAACGTGGCAGACGTCGTAAACACATTTGATTTGATTTCTGGAAAGGCTTCACTCATTTGACAGCCGCACAGCCGTTTTCGCCGGTGTTTGTCCGGGCGGATTGTTGATTGAATTGTCACCTCGATTTAATGACACCCATGGAAAGTATCTTTCACACAAGCCGCCGTTCGGTTTGATGTCTTCCATCCAGGGGAACACCATCATCATATGCCACTTGGCTGGGGCGCCACCAACGCCGCTGACACACATACGGCACCACTATTATGGGCGGTAGTTTCTCAGTTTCTCAGCGGGCCGCAGGGACTGTCAAAGGTGTCAGACGTTTTATTGCCTTTGCGGACGACCTGTTGAAAAGTTCATGGTCACGATGCGAGCAGACTTGCCAGACGGACTTTGAAGATTGTCCTTAGATCTTGGGTACTTAATGGCACTTCATGCGTTTTGCACTGGTATAATTCAATTAAAAAGTGTAATAAAAATGGAAACGAAAAAAACAATTTTGTATAGAAAATATTTATGCTAAAACTCTCTAAATAAAAATAAGTGTTTAAAATTTAAAATGATTTTTAACGTTGATTTAACAAATGAAATTAAATATGTAGTGTTCAGAAAACCCCAAACAAATAATGACGTTTAAAAAACATAAAAAAAAATAGATGATATTTTTGCTTATTATTATAAAATGTAATTAAAATGGAAAATAAAAAAAACAATTTGGTTTCCAAAATATTTATGAAATTCTACTGTTTGTTAATATTGTTTTAACAAACTTTTTTCTAATATGTAATCTATGATTGTTTAGATTGTAATCTTTAAAAAATCAAAATATTTAAATTGATATAAAAATAGTACCGTTAGATAAAGGTATACATAGAATAGATGGCATTTCTTATAAGGGAAGCCATCATGTTTATTATTTTTAATTTTGAGCACTTCAAACGCCTGTTTGTATTTAAATACCCAAACACATTATTGCGGAACACAGAGAGCCGTGGCCGACGATTGCCTGAAACGTGGTCGTACTCAAATATGGGCTTGTCCAGCCGCTTGAGGTTGTTTGTATCCCAAGTTTAATTAAATTTCTGGCATACGACATCAGCAATCAAGCACTGGCAACATGGCACCGGCATTGGCTTTGGCTTCGGCTATGGCATCGGCATCAAGCACCGTCACCATTGCCGCACCACGGGTTAGATGCACAGTCATGGACATGACTCTGTGTAAACGGACATGCACATTTGAATTCGGTTAAATAGTCCACCTGGGCATGCCATCCGCAAGTCCACAAGTCCGCTTCCATATCCACTTCCACATCCACAGCCAATCCAGAGTGCCTAATGTTTTCGGTTCGGAATGGCATGGGTTGATGGAATGCCCTTGTCCGGGCATAAAAGCCACATAGGTGGATGTATCCGTATGTGCATATTCAAAACGCCAGTCGCTGCTAATATGTAGTAGCGGCTTATAAAATGTTACAAGTTTTGTATTAATTAAAAACTTCGGCCCGTGTGTACTTTTACCGAGTTATATATATATTTTTTTTCACCATGCCGCAGCTCCTTTTGCCATTCAGGTGCTCCGATATACATATACAGCTGTGTGTGGGCTGGACTTTCCCCATTTGAACGCGGGTTTGTCTATTGTTTCCAGTCCATCCGATTTTGGTAGGGCGGTGGGACCGCCCCAAATAGACAAGCATGCACCGTTTTGCAATTTAAGCTTGTCGACGTTGCTGGTGCCGTGATGTTGCTGTTGGGTTTTCGAACCCCGAGCTCCGATTCCCTCCACTCGGCCAACCGTGCATCCATTCCGTCCATCCCATCCATCCATCAACGTGTTTGACCTAGCCGGCAATTCGGTTTGACATGCGGGTAAATTGAATTTTCCTTGTTTCGCATTTGTTTCGACTTGTTTCTTTTTTGATTTTGGCCCGTTGTACGAATTACTTATTCAAATTAAAAATATTCTTTTTCACCCTGCCGCCGATGACTGGGGAATATTTATTTGGAGTTTCTCCACAATTCTCGCCCATTTATTTACATACGCGTACATATGTAAATTGTCGGCATGTGAGTCCGGACATTGTACATAATCCTGTTAGCATACAAGTGTAACTGAATCCATCAGCATAACTTTGGAACTCTTGGGGCCCGGGACAGATTTCACTGAGAATAAATTTATTTTTCTATCGAATACATTTTTCTACGCAATATTAGCTTTCCCTGTGTTATATTTTTAATATTTTTAAGATATTCTAAACTCGTAGTTTATGATCGTATATTTTTTAAATTAGTTATGATTTTCTAAAGATGTTTTTTTTTTTAATTTTCAATAGTTATAAAATTGTTTAAAAAATATTTCTTCAATTTAATCCTTATCTCTACTTAATTGAAATTTCTAAGGAATAATTAAAAAAACTTAAAAATTGTTAAGTTAATTTATTGCATAATTAAAAAGTCATCTTCCTGGTTTTTATGTATGCTCCATTAGACAATATCTCTGCTTGATAGTGCAGAGATTAACTGTTCGCGCGAACATTTAAAATTTCACAAGATAAAACCGTTTTTTCGGCCATTCACATTTTGCAAATGAGCACAAGTCAGATTGCTTTCGAAGGCCCCGAAGGAACTCAAGGCATTAGGTTAAGTGGCAATCGCGGTCTGATTTATGGCTATTTCCGTCTCGTTGCGATTTCAGTGATTCAAGGAATTGGAAGCGCCGCAAATGAGCTGCCAGTTGGCAGTTGCTCATCCAACGGCCTCCGGGGTGCCGGCTCATTAATTGATTGCACTTATGGCCCCAAGATTTGCGAGCATTTGCATTCGTACTTGCACATGTACATATGCGTATGCAGAGTGCGGAATTCATTATTTCCGGGAACAGTGCATTTGTACGGCAATTAGTCCGCTCGCGAACATAATATACCACGCCTTCGCCGCAGACCCGGACCCTGAGGCCCATGTTCCTCTGCGGACGGCATAAATCATCTTGCAGCGGGGCCGACGCCCCAGTATCAGCGTTGGATATATGGGACATAAATACCCGGGGCCGTACAAAACTCCAAAAACGCTGTCTAATTGAGAGGCACCGCAGAGGAAGAGCAGCAACCACAGGCAGAAAATCTGGCGGGGATCGTGTATTGAGTTCTCACACTCAGTCCGCACGAATCCCAATCCCAATCTCGAGATGTCGCGAGCGGAGCCATTTTTCCATGTCTCATTTGCGGCGACCCCTCGAGAATTGGGGCTCGCTCTTTCCCCAATTTGAGTGGGGTCACACGCACGTCATAAATAAATGTAAAAAACTGGTCTAGGGGTGATGGACTAGGGAATACCCGGTCCTAAACTCGCTGATATTACAACCATTAGGCTAAGGAGTTGGTTAAGAAATCTTATTACAATATTACATTTTAAAAGTGCCAAGTTAATGCTAATTCGTAATATTTTCATAGATTTCTATATAACTTTATATTATAGCCTATATGTCTTGCGTAGACTTTATATCCCCTAAGTCCCTATATATAATCTATTAATACGCAATGTAGACCTTGTTTTTTATTATTTATGATCCTTTAAAATAAAATTTCTCCACCGCACTAAATTAGGGGAAATACATTCAGACATTGTGTCAAAACATTTTTGATTACCAACAATTAACAATTCCTAAAAAAAGCAAAGGTAATAATTTTTAAAACACCTCTTTTAGGGCTAAACCTAATAAAAGCAAATAAATCAAAGGAGCTGCATGTGGAGTGAATAGCTAAATGATCAGTTTAGATTTTTGTGGATGTAGAACGGAAAGCTACACATTTTTTTTAGCAATACCATAATGCTATTGATGTAAACAATTTCAGTATTTTCTGTACACAATGTTTAAATAAACGTAATGGGATCGTTATATAAAAATTGAAAAATGCAAGTTTTTGAAAATATGTTTGCATTCCTGCCATTTTTAGGCTTTGAACTAATAAAGCTAGTGATTGGGATACTATTCTTTTTATCTTAAAATAAAAATTTTCAATTATCCCGGAGCTGACAATTAGGCAACAGCAAATGTTTGTGGAATACAGGCAGTGCGAAAAAATGGAAATAGCTTGTTTTGTGTCTGACGCCTCCAGACATCCCACTCCCCATCCCGATTCCCAGCGAGATCACTCGTCGTCAGTGGTTGCCCAATGGCAGTCCATATATCTACGTCTATATCTATGACCGATTCGTACGGCCTATGTTGTCCGGAGTCGCGCTCACGCCCACTTTTTAACATGCGCTACAAGTGCTAAAAATGCTGAAAACATATTTCACAATTAATTGTCGCCTCGGCTGGCGTTGTTGCTTTCCGCTCGCTATGCGACAACCGCCCCCCGGACCACGCCCCCCAGCCCCTCTGACGGCCGGTCCCTCAGTTGTCGTTATTATATTTTCCTCGCATTTTTAAGTGTTGTTCGACATGGCAAAAACAACGCGTTGCTGCTTAATTTGTCGTAATTAATGCTTATGAATAGTTTGTACTTGTCGCATTTGTTAGCGGAGCGTGGGTGGAAAGTGGCTGGAAAATCAAAGAGTGGCTTACCTGCAGCTTAACCAGTTCCGGGAACTCGCTGGCCATCTTGGCCAGCTCCTGGTAATTAGCCTTCGCCATCGAGACGATCCACTCCTTAGCCTTGGGATGCGCCAGCGTAACCTCGGGCGAATCCTTCTCCTCGATTAATTGCTGAAAGGAGATGGAGGAGAAGAGGGACGCCCGTAAGGGGCATAAATTAATTATGCATGTTTCTGCCACTTTGTCTACGACTTGGCGGGGGCGGTGTCAGATGGTGTATTAAAAACAAAAAGAAAACAAAAAACCAAAAACGAAAAACATCGGCACGAAGCGGGAATAAAACATAGAAAGCCCATTGAGAGCATTAACGCCAACACAGTCGTCGCCTCCCGGAATATACGATTCTAATTTACCCACTCGCACACGGTTAACATTGCCCCACAATCCCTGTGTGTGGCATCCGATGGATGTTCATATGGATATGGATATGGGACGGGTGGGGTTGGGGTTGCGACTCGGGCGGGGGTGCACTCTCAAAAATATCTAGCATTTCATAATTAGATCAAGCACGAATAGGACCACAAATTGAAACCAAACAGATAAACCCACTTGTTAATGAGCCATAGGCACAGTAGGATTCATGTTAGATTAACATTAAAATCTAAAAAAACAGATTGGAAATCACAGGAATACTAGTTAAATTTAATATATATATATACAAGTGTTTCAAGATCGAACAAATTTTAAATTCTAAAATCTGGAAACATCTTCTAAAAACAAATTCAAATATTAATTTACATAAGATGTTATTATTACATGATTTCTCTTTAAATTAGAAAAAACTAAATTATAATCGAAAGTTATAAAAGCTTTGAAAACTTAAGCTAAGAATTGAAATATTTAGTAATACTGTTCCAAAATCCATTCACACTTTCTCCGAGTGTTAAGATGGGATGCCAATGAGATGGGGGTTGGGGGATGAAACTGGGATGCGTGTGTGTTGTTCCAAGGGTGCAGACACGGGCGTAAAAGCTGGATGGTAATTATGCTCACGCATTCGACGGCGCCATCGCCATGTTCCTCCACTAATTATGAAGGTAATAATTTTTATTTATTAGGCGCGTGCTTAAGGCAGAAAGTACGATGGGTTCTTCGTTTGCTCTCGAGGATCTGCCTCTAAAAGAAAGTAGATGTGCGTTCTGTTGTGTTTTTTTTGCCTCGGTGATTTACAGAGTTTTTTAGGCTAGGATTTCGGGGGGGCGGGGGCGTGGCACACCCGCAAAACTCGGCTGCTGATAATGAGCTCTCTAATGATTTCCGAGGGGATGGGGCTTCCGCGTGGCAGAAGTGGGGGGTTTCCCAAACACATGTGCCCGCGACAATAGGAACGGCAGTCGAGCCGACATGTGTGCCTCATATTTACGAGCGCACAACACATTTTCGGCAACTAATTATCCATTCGCGTAATGTTCGCGGGCCGAACAAGCTGTGGAATCCCCGGAATCTCCGGCCCTAGCTTCACCTGAACAACATCACCCACTCTGGGCCTTTATTATCCCGGCCTAACATTACATAGCTAATAAATACTACGACATTTGAATGCCGCATTTAGCCGCAGGATGCGCAGAACGCGTGCCAGGACCTCTCATCCTCACCGTCTATTTACACGCCACTTGACTCCTGGAGAGCTCACGTTTTTCCAATTACCCGCCCGGTGTTCGGTCCGATTTTTCCCAGGTAAGGGCGGCAGTCGCCATTTGCAAATGCCGAGCAAATGTCGAGCATATTTTTTGGGTAAAGGTAACGTAACGAGCATTACGAACGGCATTCTAGAAGTCGAATCGGAGGACTCGAATTCGTATTCGTAGTCGGGCATTTGAGCGAGCGAGGCGACAGGCGTAACAGGAACAGAAACAGCAGCAGAACATCACAAAACAGTACAAACATTGAGACGCAGGGCCCCTGGCAAAGTGGCCATGTCAATGCTAAACAAAAGAACCCAACCCCAAGCCGAACCCCATTCAAGGGAAACTCAACCGAACCGAACTGAAATGAACCGCCCACAACACTTTGAAAAAAATTATTGCAGGTGCAAACATTTTTTAAGGGTTTCAAGTTGGAAACTGTTATATATATCCTCTTAATAACTTTGGTTTCTAAGATGATAAATAATGCAATTTTAAGGAAAGATATTATAGATTTTCCCCATTTTTATAGGACAACCATTGGAGTCTTCTTATATAAGTAGCTTAAGTGAGCGATAGGAAGGAACTACATTTCCTTAATTATTATTAAAAATATGGACTCATACCATAAGTCCTTTTCATATCTTCTTATAATAAGAGAGATATAAAGTAAGATGGAAACTCATTAAGCTAAATGTTATTTTGACCAACATAATAAATATAATAAATATATTTTTTTTGAAACAATACCCTTTCACATAATTTATTTTTTGAAGCAATACTCTTTCATATAATTAAAATAATTTAATAAATTTAAAGGCCCACATATCCTTTACATTTTGGTTTAAATAGCACCCTTTAAAACTAATGATGTACTTTTTTTCGACTGCAGGCACCCACCCTCAAGATTGTCTCCAATTCGATGGTATGTTGCTTTTTTATGGCTTTAGCTCGACAAAAAGGGAGGAGACAGCAAAACGAAATAAAAAAGGCAAAACCCAGAGCAGCTCGGACTGGAACTCCAACTTCGAATCCGGACGGGGAATTGGGGGTTGTGGAGCACCGGTTGCCCTTGTCTATCGCCCGGCCCACTCATCCTCCCCAATCGCTTGTTTGTTGGCCAGTTTTCTTATGTCCCGTGTTTGTCCCTTTATGCCCGATATTATATCACACAGCTGGCCGTTGTCCTTTGCCAGGATGTGGCCCTGGCCATGGGTTCTGTGTCCCGGGTCCTGGGCTATGTGGGCTATCCAAGGGACTCGGGGTCTGGGCCAGCATGTCCCTTCAGTGTTTACGTTGGCCCGGCGAGTCTTACCTTTGGACCGATGCCACAAAATGGTCGTGTTTGCCATTTCCATGGGTCCTGGGACTCCGTCCGTTTCTGTCAAAGGGGGCGTTCGTTTGGTCGGTGGTCTGACTGACTGCTCCTTGTCCGGCGAACAGCGGCAAACGGGTGAAAATTGTTGCTGTTGTAAATTTAACCGCTTCGGGACACAGTCCGTTGTTGTTTAACAGCAATAACAACTTTTGGTTTGTTTCCTTACATTTTTAATTGGGTCCTTTGTGGCTGGGATGGCCGTGATGAGAATAGCTTTGCCTAACTAATTTCTATTGCTGCTTATTGGCTATGTTAACATGTTTCACCAACTTGTTTTATGCAAAGGGTTTCGCCACGGGTTCGTTCGTTCCGTTTCGTCCCTGCCACGCCCCTCGATCCACGCCTTAGTTTCGATGTGGGTCGGGATGGCAGTTTTATATGCATTCTGGGACACGAGAGGTGCCTCCTATTTTAATAAGAATATATGCGGTCTGTTTGATGCTGCAGTCCACTTTTGGGAAGGGATTTGCTTTAAAGGATATTTGTGACGATGCCAGGGGGTTTAAATTAGAGTCACAGAACATCAACAAAACTTTGCATTAGTTTTTGTTTACTGGACTGGAGGGGGGAATTTAATTTCAGGCATTTCCGACAGCATTTTGAATTTATTCATGAAAACTTAGTTCTTTTATGAATATTATGTTTTAAAATTTATGTTAAAAATACAACAATGTAAAGCTTTCACAAAACTTAATTTTTTCATTTTGCAAACCCCTCATTATAAAGATTTAAACAATATCACTCTTTATTTCCATTTAAAAAAACTCTACCAATTCCACGAATTTTAATAATACCAAACATCACGAATACAAAAATTTGCCTATTTTCTTTGTTGAAGGTATACATATCTTTAAATTGTTTTTAATATTATTTTTTTAAGCTTAAGTTTAGCCTTAACCTTTCCAATTTCATTAATCAAAATTTGGTAAAACTCAAATTTGTATACTTCTATCAATATTAGTTATTTAAACAAAAAAATAACAACAAGTCCGGTTATTTTTTTAGGGCGTAAATTAATCAATCCTTTTCCAACACACAACGGTGCTGAGTGAGCGTAGAAAATGCAAAATCATCGGGCTAATTAAAAACGATCGAAACGAATTTAATTGATCAGCTAGCTGAGACTCCAGACTCTCATAGTTACAGTTGCGACGCCAAAATTTCACGGTTCGTCATGATAGATCTACTCCACTTGCTCCCAAGTTTTTCGGTCACGGCGGGAAAAAATCCCATGAATTAGAATCCCTCCTTTAAATTCCTAGGAACATGATGCGTCACTTTCTTTTCGGCCAGCAATGATTAGTTATTTCTTTTGATGAACAAAAAACGAGCATCCATCAAACCTATCCCAATATTGTTTACAACTGAATTTTAATAATTGCGTGAAGACGGTTGGCGCCATCCGAAATGATGGTGTGTCTTGTTAGCGAATCAATTTGTTAACAAGCTGTAAGCGCTTATATACTTTCTTTATCTCCAATGGTCTAAATAGGAGCTATCAATTCGATCAAGTAAGTGATAGCCCTTATTTTAACTGTATTCATGTCGCAGACAAATTAATAATGACTTGTAGAAAAAGGCGAATGGCTCATGCGAACGAATTCACATGATGAATGCATATTCATTTAAATGATATATTTTTTCCAAGTTGTTCAACTTAAAATTTTCTTTTTACAAAAGTTGGAGCAACTTTTACTTTTTTGAAAATATTATTAAACAATTTAATTTAATTCGTATATCTTTTTTTTGTTAGCCCATAAAACGCAAACCTCTTTAAAATTAATACAGAGGAGTACAACTAATTTAAGATTCCTTTCAAATACTAAATTCCACGCTGTTTTGTGGTGATAGTAAAAATCCCCCATGGCTTCCATTTAATTTCGACTTAATTTTTATATTTTTAATTTGGCCTCTCAAGAACGGGATGTGTAAATCCGAAAACATGAAATACGTGAGAAATACGAAGTTGCGGCAGTGATGCTTTGAGACAGATTCCCGATATAAGGACGAGTTTGATTTTTCCATGTCCGAACGTCTGTACAAATAGGCACTTAAGTTCGCTTCCCGATGTTTTAGTGGGATTTTATAGCATCTGACGTACCGTTGACAATCTTAGTTTGACGAACATCCACTGCTGCGGAGCATCTTCCGCCAAACACGATACAATGGGATGGGATGGGATACGATGGGATGGCACCATCCGTCTCGCAGACAGATTCGGATGATTTATGCACTGGGGATATTCGTTCTCAACTCTAAATTGCGTGATTGACAGTCCTAAGTGGATGACAGTTGTTTGACAACTCGGCCCTATTGCACTACTATATCGTGTAACATTAACTAAGAAACGATTTTTCCGTAACGCTTGACAAATTCCACTGCCACATGCTCCCGGGATTGATATTTCTAAATTAGAATCTTGAAACGGACACGCTACAAATTATATATGTATGTGCAGACATTTGAGTGGATTTCGTTTGATGATTTGAAGGCCTATTCATAAGACAAAATAAATTTGGGGATCTAGAAATGGCTTAAACTGAAAGGCTTGTGGTAAATATGCTCTCAAGACTCAGATAAACATTTCACTTTTTTAAACATAATTTTAAATTAGGACTTGAATTATTAGTTTACCCTAGGAAATTATAGAAATATTGGTTTATTTACATTTTCCAACCAATTTCCAAAATTAAATAAGTTTGAACACAACTTTTCTTTTAAATAAGTTCTTTTATAACATAATTAATAATTTAAACAATATAAAATACATTTTTATTCCTAAATAAAATGTTGTTTAAAATATTCAAATTATATATTATTTTTCTGATTCTATTTGATTGTATATTTTTGGAGGAGGCAGCCTGTCCAGGCAGACATTTATTGGCGGCAACATTTCTCACGTAACTCATTTTTAGCTTGTCCTCGCTGTGTTCGTACACATAATAGGCTTTTGGGGTATAAAAAAAAAGAAAATAAAGGCGGGTAGAAAAACAGCTTGCAGTGCAAACGCCCGGCCTAAGTGTCGTCATGGCCAGTTGATGGAACAAAGTTACTAAATCGAATTCGGAATCGGAATCGGACTACATGTGTCCGCACATGTACGTACACATGTCGGGCATCAGCTCTCCAGCTCTTCAGCACTCCAGCTCTCGAATGCGCGGCGACAAAGCCGGGACAGAAAAACGGACAGAAAAGCGAACGGAACGATGCAGGCGCATGTAGTTTTATGAGACTTACATTTATATTGTCCACTAATAAAATTAATGGATTTATTCAATTCGGGCTGTGCTGGTGGCAATTCGTGACAAGGCCCTGGGAACTGGGCACTGACAGACAGTTGGGTGACCAGCTTAGTTCGAGCCAGCCATTCTGCCAAGCTGCCATTCCGCTATTCAGCCAGCAGTTCCACTTGAGGTGGCCCAAAGCCCTGGGACAGCCACTGATGCATTGACAATAATTGCTCGGGGTTCCAAGGGCCCCAGATCTAATCTGACCCTGATTTGTAGCCGAGGAATACCAACCAGCCCTCTGTGTTGCCATTCAGTCATAAGTAGTGATGGGAAAGGTACCTTTTTAATCCTATTATACATATGCAAAGAAATACTTCTAAATGTGTGCAACATCATTTTATAATCTAAGTATCCCTTGGGTAGGAAACTTTTTGTTTTTGCCCCTTAAAAATAAAACAAAATACAAATTTTGTTTTCAAATTAAACATTTGTTTTTTTAGGTGTCAATAAAAGCAATTTGAAAAAGGTTCCGTAAGCTCGGGCTCTTTTACAAATCATTAAAACTCACCGAAAAAATAATATATAAAAATTAATTAAGTTACTTTAGACTTATATCTAATCCTTTTTTTAGGTACTTTGAACCAAAAAGAAAATTTCGAACGGGTCACATTTCCCTACATTCAAACAAATGTTCTGCCGACTGAAAAATGCAAAAACTGGAGTCCCAAGTTCAACTTTATGGATTATTTATTGAATTTTTAATTTTTTGTTAGAGGAAAAAATCGAAAGAACTCGAATACTCAGAAAAATAAAAGTAAAAAGAACAAAAATAGGTAAAGTTTTCCAAACTTTCTTTAATTTTCAAAAATAATCACTGAAAAATTCTATAAGTCGTATTGTCATTAGTTAAAAAGAACTAAGTTCTAAAAATAAATCATTATAAAATTATTTCCTAGATATCTTTGAATTTGCAGCTAAAACAAAAGGTAAAGAGAATTTTTTGTACTGAGGTAAGACAGATAGTACTGAAAATAACTTTCTTGAGTCCCCTTCTCTGGACACTTTTTATGAAAATATTCTTAGCGCTGTGATAATTAATCACAACTAAGCCCCTGCAAAAAAAGAGTCGCATATTTGAATTGTCTTGGAGCGAATCTTCCCACTGACACACAGGAAATGGAACAAATTGTGGCACCGCTGGGAGGGAATGGCCCACGAGACACCCTCACCCGCATCCTCACCCGAAGAACCAGAACCCCTTGCCCGCATGACGACGGCTAATGCCCCTTAACCGGTTTTGAGTCACTCACCTTCTCTGGCTTCTTCTTGGCCGGTGGCGATATGATTTTGGCCTCCTCTTCGGATGCCATCCGGTTAAACTTGCGCGTAGCCTCCTTCACGCTGATGGGATTCTCGGCCACATCGCTCGCCTCGCTTTTTGTGGGATCGCTCTTCTCCAGCTTCTCGTTGGAACTGGAGTCCGTGGAGGCCTCCGAGGAGAAGGAGAACCGGGGTATGTTCTCCTTGTTGTCGGTCACATCGATGGAGTTGGATCGGGATGATGGTTTCTCCGGCTGATCCTCCTCCTCTGGCTTAATCTCGGGTTGCTTCTCCAGACGGGCCGGTTCTATGCGCTTTATGGCAGCTGTGAATTCATCCACGCACTCCTGGTAGTTCTCCTGGTGCTCCTTGGCAATGGAGACCACTGCTGCTGGCGGGGATGTGACCATGGGTGGGGGCTTGTAGGGCGGAGGCTGCCTCATGGGGGAGTCAAAGTTCAGGGAGGCGCCGCCGGGACTCGAGGGCTCCGAAGCGGCGGCCACCGCGCGCTCCACCACTTCCTCCGTGGGGCATTCGTTCACATATTTCTTGCGCAGTATCAAAAACTTTTGGTTATTCTCGTTCTTTATCGTGGAGAGCAGGGTGACGTAGGTCTTGAAACGCTTGCGGGCCTCATCTGCAATTGATAATCATAGAAAACAACCATTTCACAACAGAGTTTTCACTATTGGCCATTCAACAGGTTCCAAAAGACAAACAAATGACTCACTTTGCGACTGCGGGTGGGTGAGGAATTTTTTAAAGTGCTTTACCAGCGCGTGATTCGTCACCTTGCAGTCGTTGGCCAACATGTAATTGCGAATCTCCGCAATGGACAACTCTTTCGGCAGCTCCATTGCACTCGGAATTTCACTTTTAAACACTTTTAAACGCGAAAAACGAAATAAAAAACACGCACAACAAACAAAAACATTCGACCAGGGCGACGGACGCACTGCGATTGTTGCATCCCTCGTGTGTTGCGGAAAAAAGCTCGCTGATTTCGCTGGATGACTGAAGGCTGGTTGCTATGGTTTATTTAAATTATATATTTTACTGGTTTATTAATATTGTTTGTTTATTAATATTAATATTAATATTGTGTTTCAAAATATATAAACTTAAAATGATAAATTTATATTGATTCAAAAATACATTTATTTTTGATAGATTTAAGTGTTGGCAAGCCGAAGTTGTTATTCCCTTGCATCAATACAATTGAGGTTTGAATAGATTAAATTATAGATTAGAATAAAACGAAAAAGTTAAAGAATAAACAACTAAATATATGGGCACTTCCAAAATGTCGCTCGGGACATTTGCACACCTTTAAAGTTGAACAAAAATTGTAAAACAATGGATTTTAATTTTAATTGTGGGCTTTTCTTTTTACTCTTCCCAAGCTCTATTTTTGGTAAAAATCTTGATTTTGTACCACTTTTAGTTTTTAAGATATCGGTAAAAAACTGCCGTATTCGCTCGGGACAAAAATAGAAGTGGATTTCGGGGAAGTTCATACAACACCAGAAATTAGCGAATTCTGATGGAATATTTGAATGCGATTTTTTTAGAATGTTGTTCAAACATGTCGCTGTGAAATGCTTTTGGTTTCACTCAAAAATTCTTTGCCGTTTTTTTTTTATGCAGTTTCAACCACATTCGCTCGGGACATGTCGCTCGGGACATTTTTTCCGACTGTTTTGTAAAGCGGATTTCTTTACCTCTATCTCTCAATCGCTGGATGTTTTGCTTTTAACTTAATAGTTTAGCATGTGAATGAAGCATTCAGTACAGAAAAATGTCACATATTAGCATTCCTATAGGATAAATTAACAATAGAAGACAGGTCCAAAAAATAACAAAAAAATAGCCAAAAACTGATTTTTGCGTATATTGGTGGGGTTTGTCATAAAAATAATCAAACTATACTCCAAATTTGTAGTTAAGCTCAGTATCCAACTAATTAGAAACTAATATCGGGGCAAAATCATGTGGAAATATCTTTTATTCAAGTTTCAAGGTTTTTGGCTTGGTGGACTTTTTTTTGGAAGTGCCCATATGTAAATATAATTTTAATATTTATTATATGATGGCATACAATTTTGATTTATTTTTCTCTATTGTTGCTATGCGAGCTATAAGATATAGACGTCCAATCGACACGCACACAAAATAGTCGATTTGGAAAGTACCTATCTATTGCATAATATAAGATAGTTCATGGAAAATAAGAATTTTAACCCTACTTTAAATTTAACAGGCGGACGAGAAAACGGCCCTAAGAGACATTTTTTTAAATCATTTCTTAATTTTCTCTTTTTTCTGATTATTCTTATCCTGTGATTATTGCTATTAATGATTAATCTTCATAAATGTATCGATTCGTTAATTCCTTAACAAAAAATGTAAGCTGTTAAAATCCAAATGCAAAATTCTCTTATGAAGTTCTGAAACATTTTCTATCAGTATAATTTTGTGCTGTATCCTTACCAGACGTACAAAAAGGGATATGAAAGGATTATAATCAATTATGAAATCCCTTTGGCATGCTAACTTATAAAACACAGTAGAAGTTAATTTGCATAAAATACAATTCAAATCAACTTGAAGCCGTCTGTTTCGAGACGATTTTATTATGCAAAAGAAATATTTAAAACAGCTCCGAATTAATTCCTGAGACACTGTCGAGTGGAAATTGAGGGGGCGGCACTGGCGGAATAATCCCACCCACCCAGAATCGGAGAGCTAACTTGGTAGTACGAGTATGTGGGCCATGGATTGAGTTGATTTCCTTCTCAATTGGCCAAACTTGGCTTGGTTTGGGGCCCTGTATGTGTGGCAATTTGTTGAATCGACGTCATTTATCATCCGCACTGAGAGTTCTAGCCGAAAGGAAGCCACAGCCGATGACAGTGACAATGGCGCATCTGGATACACAGATTGGGATTGTATCTTTCACTTGCATTTCAAGATGCAAATGTCAAGACGTGTTGTCCTCCCCACCCCGTCCCCAACCCCATTTCCATACCCATTCACATACCCATTACCCCCGAGGATTCTCCAGAATGACTCGGTGGCGCAGATGCGCACTAATTTGTATGCCCGCACTCTTTGGACTTGGATTCGTTTTCGGATGGATAAATGTATCTGATGGGCAGGAGGAAGCGTGCTCGGCTCATAAATGTGCCCTAATAAATGCCTCTTATTTATTCTTTTATTTGGGATTCGATATAAGAGCGAGTTTGTCCACGAGTTATAGGGAAAGTAAATAAAGCAAGATAAAGCTAATAACTTGCTAACAAAATAACAATAAAACTAAAATAAACGTTTTTTAAATATTTGATTTCGAAATAACATTAGCGGAAACCAAAACTAAATTATATTTCTCTAAATATACTATGCTACTAACTTTAAAATGATGGAAAAACAATTTATTTGTTAAATTATTTCATATTCTACTTCCGAGTTTTTTTTTAAATGTACCAGAGATCTACGACATAATAGATTTCAAAATATATTTAGAATAATTTCATTAAATATTTTTCATAATGGCAACTTTCTTAAATACTTATTTTAACGAATCAAACAAAAATTTTTTAAATTGTTTGCCTTGAAAAACTTATAAATGTATATAATAATTAAAAGGTAGTGAGATAACATTTTTAGATTTATATACGAAACTAGCTATATAGTGATAAAAAGCGATGATATACAAGCTAGTTTGACACAGCTGACCGACATTTGAATCCCATTTCGTTCAAAAGAGTGCTTTTAAGGACTTTAATTAACTAAGTGCTTTTACTACTATCCCAACTGAAAGCATTCCAATCTCAGAGCAAGCGAGAAATGGCTCGTCAGTGCGATTAGAGCAATGTTAAATGTTCGGCATTTGCAGCCGGATTATGCAATTGTCACCGATTGCGACGCAAAGTGGCGCCTGATAAGCGTCGCAAATTAAATTATATGCCGTATGAAGTGCGAGTATCTGTATCTGGAGGTAGTTTTCCCAGCGAATAGCGAATGCCACTTCGGCACGACAAGAGAACGTCTGGGCAGCTTTTTCCGATCTGGGGGAGTTGGCATTGGTGCGGGCGAGGATTGGCAGCAGCCATCTTGTAGCTGCGGATACTGGTGTATCCCTCAGATACTTTGCCCCCCTTTCCCTCCCACTCTCTTGAAAAACCCCAGTTTTTTTTTTGTTTGTACACCGGTTGGCGTCAGTGTCGAAGGCAACAGACAGCGATCGACGGCGACGATCCTCGATAGTTGCAACTTGCAGCGTTTGTCTTGTCCCGGGGATGGGGATGGTATGGGCTGGTAGAGAATGGCATAGGCATTGGATGGAATGGTTTAGGAGGCTATAAGATGGAATGGGCTGCTGCTGCGGCATAATTGGCAATTGGGGAATGGGGCAACGGGAGTGGGAGCGGCAATGGCAGGGGGAATGGATTGCGAATGGGCATGAGAATGGCACTGGGCTCACTCACTTTTATGACTTTTTTTTGCCAACTGCCAGCTTCACTCGGAGAATTGTTCGTAAAATTAATAAAAAAAGTAATTCATAAAAAAATTTATTAATAAACAATGAAAGCCATATTTGCAAAAAAGATTTAAAAAGATTTAAAGTGATTTGCCAGACATTTATAGTAAAATATAGTAACGTACAGATAGGAATAAAGAAATTAAAAAAAAATCCTTTTCAAGGTTATTCAAAGTATTAAAACTCACCAAAATATTTACTTAGAACATAACATAATCATTAAAAATTACATTAAATCCTTAAATAGCATTAAAACTTAGTTTACAGAATAAGTTTGAACGTATTAAATAAATAATTCTAATAAAATAAATGCTGAGTATTGAAATAGGGAATTTAGAATCTATTGGAGTTTAATCTTTTTATTGTTAATTTAAATAAAATATTACTAAGAATCAAACAAAAATCAAGAATATAATAAATTGTTAGTCCTCTAAATGTTTTCAGATTTATGATGTGTACCCTAAATAAAATAAACGACTTGATGAAGAACCCCCTTCAAGTTCAGAACATTAAAGGAATGACGACCTTTTTTTTGAGGTTTTTCGTGGCCCGTCAAATTTTTCGAGTGTGCCAACTAACGCCGGCTGTCTATCTGGCCCAGTCAAATCGAAGTCGTGGCCGGATTGAGTTTGTTTCTGTGTTCGGCTTAGCCAAGATTCCCTCATTTCTAACCTGCGATTCGACTTTATTTATTTCTCCATTCCTCCTGACCCCTGGAGAGTGGCGCCTAAAATTACACGAGGTCTTTTCAAGCGGCAGCGGGGGCAGCTGTCACCGCGGATTGCTCAAGAATCGGAGATTTATTGTGACCGGGAATCGCTCGGATCGGATTGGATTGAATTGGATTGTTCGAAAAGTCAAAAACCCGGATAGCCGGGTAGCGTAATGCTCAGCAGATGTCGGCGGTTCCACGCAATCCTGGGCAGCCTTTTAAGTAGTCTGACAGTCATTATTGAACCATTACCAAATGAGCAGTGCGCATTATAAATGAGCACATAAAACATAAACGTTGTCGCCGGGCACGAGAGCCGATTACTGCAATTTAGCACCCCCACTTGGCCCTCATCCCCTGAAGTCCTTGTAGTCCTATAGTATCACGTCAACTTCAGATCGTCATATGTTGCTATTTCCGACGGGGAGCTCGGGAATTCGCTCATATGCCATATAGAGTGCTTCGATTTTGATGGTGGATGTGGAGTGGATGATGGCAGAGGACTGTGGTCAAATGCTTTAGCTCGCACCGGGATTTCGGCTCGTTTCGCCCGGCTTAGCCCGACTCCCAAGTGGGATTATGTCACTTCCCGGTGACATTTGCATTTTGATTGACAAACTCATTTAGCGCCTGCAGTGAGTCGTCCTTCGTCCTTGCCCTCTGCGTCCTTGTGCGTCTGCAATATCCCCCTGCTCGTC